TTATTAGCTCTGAATTTACATTGAGCTCTCAGGATTTCATCCTCCTTGGGACTACACATATGGATTATCAAGTTTTTCCTAACTTAACTATATGTATATATATATATATATATATATATATATATTGAAATAATGACAAAGAACAGTAAGATTTATAATTCAGTGTTCTTATTAATTATTTTTTAAAAAAAACTGCTCAATACAATTCTGTAGAGAATCATAAGCATTATCAATTTACTAATTTAAAAATAGAGTTCCATCATTATACAGGAATTACCATATTTCAAAAACAGAAACTGAAACTTTAAATTTAATTATAAATATAATAATAATAATAAAATAAATTTAATTAAAAATTTAGTTATAAAATTAAATTAAATTAAATTAAAATTAATTTAATTTTATAATTTAAAGTTTTAGTTTCTGTTTTTGATACATGATCCTGTGTAGTGATAGGACCATATTTTAAATTAGTAAATTTATAATATATATATATATATATATATATATATATATATATATATATATATATTTTTAGCTGGCCACTTGTATTTGAGGATAGCTGTCTATTAGGGCAGCTAGCCAATCCCTATTGCAGACGTTTGCTCAGGCACATTTGTGTTTTGTTCAACATCAACAGAGCCAGTCTGTGGTTTATACTGCAACTACTATGCTGAGCAGAACTTAGTTACAGTTTCTGAGAGAGAGAGTGTGTGTTATCTAGCATGATCAACAATCTGAACAAGGCCAGCACACTCAAACCCTCGGTCACGATGACTTGTGACTTTGTGCTAGCACAGCTGTTGATGGCCCCCAAGGGTTCTGTCTACCCAATTTGACTCCCAAGGCTGGCTTGGGTTAACCTGTGGTATGGTTTTCAGACATTTTCCAAAGGTGCCGCATGTAACTTGTATTAATCTTGTGATATCTGAATAAATTTACTATTACAATATCTATACAAGGATTTCCTTTCCTGAAGTGTGCATACATTTTTTGGTGGACTCTGTATATATGTTTACACAATTGTTTTTAAGTTCTGGCATTCTCATCTTTGATTGAAACAATACTTTCAAATCTTGCAATATTCATTTTCAAGCATTGTTCGGTGTATATTTACAAAACAGTTTTTTAGTTTTGGCATTCTTACATTTGATAGAACCAGTACTTTCATATGTGTGTATAGTTAGGCAGCAATCCTTCTTTCATGCACCTTTCACTGAATATGACAGACAAGGTGCTTTGATTTCGGTGTTATACAATTTCTCATGTGATCTTATAATTTTTTTCTTTTCGGTGGATAAATTATATAAAAACTGTTCAATTGTTCTTTTTTTCCAAGCACTTTTAGCTATAGATTTAGCTTTTTTCAAGGTTAAAATATATTAACTCTTAACAAGAAATAGATTGTTGTATGTATGTATATAATGTTTTCATTTTCAAAACATGGTCAAGATATTGTGTCCATGTTCATAGTTGATATTATTGAGTGTTGTTTTTTGTTTTTATTAATAAGGCTTTCATTTAGTTTAGGCCTTTTTTTGCATGTAGATGATGCTATTATATTTGTGTTGTCAACAAGTATGTTACGAATAGGGTCCAGTAGGTCTCCATGAGCATTTAAATCTACACCTTTCTGACCATAGCTCAATTAGATTTCATTTAAATATTCATGGAGACCTACTGGTCCACACATGACCCAACCTATTACAGCGATAGCTGTGCTCCCAGACTCATGCTCCTCACACCACTTCATCTCTGGCACCTCCTTGCAAAGTGGTTTGGACCATCACATTTGTAACGGACAGGGTTATCATGATTGCCAATAGCAAAGGAATGTCTCTCTGGCTGAGATACTGCTCTGCCATCTGTTCTTTCTGCTGCTGCTACAACTGGTTCCGCTTCTTTGCAAATATCTTGGCTCAACAGCTGGGCAGCCGATAGTTTATCCATTCTGGATTTTGCTCACAAAAGCTGACTGACATCATCCAAAAATCCTGCTACAAAGGCATGCCCCAGCAGTCAGTCATCCATGCACAGAAAATTTCTGTAAATCGGCCAGGTAGACGTTAACTGTTTCATCGAGGAGGAGTCAGAAACTAATAAATTTTTGATATGCAACAAATGGGTCTGTTCCAAAGGCTGTATAAAGAACCTGTTTTATCTCAGTAAAGTCATTTTTTTTCTTCCTCTTTAAGCTTCTGGTACACGGCTTAGTACCCAGTCCCATCAGCCTCAAAGGAATGACTTGATGCTTTTCAATTTGCATAGTCAGCAAACAAACTCTGCTTTCTCCACCCATTCAACAACAGATAGGTCAGTAGACAAACCATTGAACTCTGGTATCAACTTCAAGTTGAATTGGTCCATGTCACCTTGTCAAACACTTTTGTAGTTTGTTTGTAGTGACAGGCCAAATTTGCATAGGTGTAAAAAGAGTCTTGCAAAAGTATCCAGCTCTGAGATCTATCGTTTCTTAAATATACAACTCATAAAGTCACCATTTTCTTTTTAGGATACTTTACATGTGAGACATGTCTGAATACGTTTTCTACCAGGGGGTAAGCTATTTTCTCCCATCTTACTCTTTGTTGTCTTTATTCATATTGTCCTTTTACAGATATACTTTATCTGAAATTAAGTATATATATATATATATATATATATATATATATATATATATGTGTGTGTGTATGTATATATGCGTGTGTGTGTGTTGTATCGAATAAATCCAACAGAATAATTAAAGAACAAGTAGGAAATCTTTAACAATTAACTAACCCTTTTACTACCTATATATCTGAAAAAAAAAAAAAAAAAAAAAAAAGAGTTTAAAGGCATGCTATATTTATGGATAAAAGTGCTCAATATCAGAGATAGAGCATATGTAAATATAAAAGTGGCCTGAAGACTTCATTCAAACATGAAACAGACTGCTTGGTGTTGACCTCAGTGTCCACTTTTATTTGTGTGTGTGTGTGTGTGTGTGTGTGTGTGTGCATAATAAATTCACCAGAATGATTGAATAATGAACAAGAAGGAAATTTTGCATACTTTCATATATGTTTTGAAGTATTTGTGGATGTATTTTGGGAAGATGACCATTCAGGTTTTAAGAAATTTGAAAATACTTCTTGGACTAATTTCTTGCCTTGATGACAATTAGCAGATAAATATGGATGTTTTTTTTTTTTTTTTTTTTTTATATATTTTTTGTTTTTTTTCTTTTAGAGAATATGCAAATTTTAATTGGAAGTTTTCTATATTGGTAAAATACAATCAAGCAAGGTTCTATTTGCCTTTAAAGTACATTTACTTAGTCAGAATTTTTCAAAAGTCTTTAAAAAAAAAAACTGCCCACTCCTCTCGGAGAGATGGCCCGCCCACTCCTCTCGGAGAGATGGCCCGCCCACTCCTCTCGGAGAGATGGCCCGCCCACTCCTCCCGGAGACATGGCCCGCCCACTCCTCCCGGAGACATGGCCCGCCCACTCCTCTCGCAGAGATGGCCCGCCCACTCCTCTCGCAGAGATGGCCCGCCCACTCCTCCCGCAGAGATGGCACGCCCACTCCTCTCGCAGAGATGGCCTATCTGCTAATTAAAATCTACAATATTTTACAAAATGGCAAACTTTATATTCTGCCTATTTTTTGTTTATTTTTTTTTTTTTTAATTCACAGTAAAACTGTACTTGAAGTGGCTTAATGATTTTAAAAATGAGTTAAACTTCAAATTTCAAATCCCACCTTTCTAAATCCACAAACATAATAGCAACTTAACGACTGATCATGTCATCTGGCATTGATTTTACTTAAAAGATTCAAAATTCATCAAAGAATTTTCATGTGTCTAGCTGGTGAAAGCTAATCTTAACATCCTTTAATCATAACATTTCACCCTAATGAAAATTACAATGTTCTACAATTAAAGAGCTTTTTTGACTGCTTCAGTTTGGGAGGATGTTTTGGGCAGATTGGAGGAAAGTGATTCAAATCAATAAATTGAAGCTAAATTTTTGACACCAGTAACAATTTTTGTGGGGTGGGGAGAATTACAAATCGGAGATACCAAATCAAAGAAGTACAAAAATTTATATATCTGGGAAGTATTTTAACAGGATGGAAAGTGCAACACTGAAATCCAAAGACACATTGGAATAGACAAAGATGCATTCCAAAAGCTAAGCAGAGTATTAAGAGACATAAAAACTTTGTTAGAAACAAAGAAAAGAGTACCGAACTGTTATGTGATATCTGTCCTCCTATATGGCAGTAAATGCTGGACAATCTCCTCAAAAATGAAGAAGAGACTTGAAGTAACAAAAATGTGATTCTACAGAAGGATGCTGAGGATACCATAGACCAAACATGGGAGTAACAACTAGGTTTTAGAGAAAATGGAAACAAAAAGAAAACATATATTTAACATCAGGAAGAAATAGTTGAAATTTCTGGGCCACTTAATGAGGAAGGAAGGCTTGGAAAATGTGAACTCACAGGACAGATTGAGGAACAGAGGAAAACAGCACATAACATAATGAGCTTGAGTAAATGGATGGTGGAAAGGGTTTAGGAAAAATAATGAAAAGACAAAATTTATTAAGAGCTACAAAGGACAGGAAATTGTGGAGAGCTATGATAACATACATCTTGAGGAGACAGAACATAAGAGGTAAAAAGAAGCAGGGGGGGGCACATAAAGAAGAAGGGGGGGTTTTAAGGAAGAAGGGGGGGCACATAAAGAAGAAGGGGGTATATAGGAGAAAAAAATTCTAGCATCAAGTTTAATTGGTTTATAAACATAAGCACATATGTCAAGTACCACTTTACTTCCCTCAGACTAAACTAAAATAATCAAAATTCAAGACAATTTTATAGCCAGCCCCTGACACTACAAAAAATGCTCACCATATAATTATTCTTCTGTATAAACATTGACCAATAAAGAAAAATAAAAGCGAAGGATTTTGTGAACATTTCTTTAATTGTTTTGGGTTAAACTGATCAACTTTGATTACTGATTGAATGATGATCTCTTCGGTTGAGAAAAGCTAAAAAGAAACTTACCTGAGAAATCACATCCCCGTTAAATCTGCGCACCTGGTACAGGTGTCGGTAGCGAGAATGCTGTTGATCACGTCTTTGCTTGGCTCGGATTCGTTGCAAATTCACTTTGCGGACTCGTTTGTTGTGTAAAACTGGAAAAAAGAGAAACAGAATTGTATGATTATTTTTTTGCTTCTTATACTAACTTGCTTAAATGCTGCCTTTGTGGCCTCTGTGCAATATCCAGACACATATTATTAATAGATTTCCCATTTATTTGCAAATGCTAATTATTAATAAACTTAATTATTCTTAAAGTATCATTCTTAGCATGCCATTATGGCTGTTAGTAAAGAGATAAATGAAATTACTGTAATTGGCAGTTAATCGACATAGATTTATCTCCCTTTGCATTAGATTAATTAAAAATTACTCAAACTGGTGGCTTAATTATACTGGAAATTGCTTTTTCCTTTAAAAGCATTTAAACTGTTTTAATAAAAAATTGTCCCATCTTTGTTGTTACCACAACATACAAAAATATGATCACTTGTAATATTAATTAAACTTTTATTTTATCATTGGAAGTAATTTTGAATTTGAATCAAATGTTTATGTTGGTAAGAAAATTATACTTGTATATACAAAGCAAATAAAATATGAAAGCTGAAAATATTATTAAAAGTAGGAAAATAGTTTTAAAAAAATCAATTATATGCATAACATTAACCACACAGACAATCAGAGTTTAAGAAAGCTCATGCCATTTAATAGAATCTAGAATGTGAAATTTTATCTTTGTGTTTATGAGAGAGAAGTAATTTATTCATTGTAGCTTTTAAGTAAAATCTTTTTTCATTAAATGAAAGCTATTTAAATATACAATAAAAAAATTCCAAGTTTAAATCTCTGTAAGAGGAGAATTGTATATATCATGAAACTAAAACTTGCCTCCTTTTCAAAAAAACCAGGGTGGAGTGTGAAGGACAGTTGAATGTATCTACTATTATTTAAACAATAAATCTATTTTCTATGAAAAGTTCTTAACAAAAACTTGATAATCAGAATAAATTATAAGTGGACATGTTCTCAGTATCATTTACTGAACTTCAACACTAATATTCTTCAGAACATAGACAATCTTGGCTCTCCATAACTTCCTATCCTTTGTAGATCTAATAAATTTTGTCTTTTTGCTATCTCTCCTAAACCCTGTTGCCCCATCCATTTACTCAAGCTTGCTAGGTAGGTTATGCATTGTAAGTAGGTTATGCCTCTGTCCATCTTACCTTCAATCTGACCTGTGAGTATCAAATTTTCTAGGTCCTCTTTCCACACTATGTGCCCTAGAAATTTCTGATGTTGTATAAGTGTCCTTACATATATATATATATATATATATATATATATATATATATATATATATATGCCATTTTTCTAAAACTTTGCCAGAACTCATATGGCTGCATTTATCTGTAGAACCATATCTCTGTTGCTTAAAATTATATTATAACTTTTAGTATGATAAATATATCATAGCTTTTAATATAAGCATAATATATCATAGCTTTTAATATGATAAATATATTATAGCTTTTAAAATGGAAAACTCATATACATAGCTTGAAGCAATCAGATGTCTAGCCACGCTGATGAACTGTGATACAGCAAAACAGTCTGTCTGTGGATGACAATATATACGCACCTGAAAAACTTAAATTTGGTTGTGCACTCTTGGAAGATAAGTGTGGATTTGCAAACAATGACTATTACTACTAATATTACAAGGCTCTTCTCCTTTCCTGAATTGAGCTCTCTCTCAGTCATTGTTGTGTTTATTCACAAAATAACTACATAAAAATTTGCTTTTCTTTCAACCATGCGCCGATGGCTTAGGGAGAAAATCTCTGACTTTTGCTGAATCAGTCGGGTTTCGATCCTGGCTTGAAGCAACTAGATGTCTAGCGATACTGATCAGCTGTGATACAGCGAAACAGTCTGTCTGTGGATGGCTATATATGTGTGTGTGTGTATATGTGTTATATATATATATATATATATATATATATATATATATATATATATAGAGAGAGAGAGAGAGAGAGAGAAATACAAACAAAACTGATTATATATATATATATATATATATATATATATATATATATGCATGCATATAAATATACATTATATCTAAACTTCTATTTGATATTTGTATATATTCAACTATATGGCAAACAAGACAATTCTCACAAAGTTTCATTACAAATTACAAGCAAGAAGGACTGTCACAATAATGGCTACTAAGCTATTCTTGCAAAAAATTACTATTGTCTATACTTGCTGCTTTGCACCAGACTAAATACCTATTTACATAAGTTGAAACTATAAACACATTTTTAAACCTCTCACATTATTTGAACAAAACTAAATATTAAAAGTGAAAATGACCCTTGAGAAGTGTGGCAGTTTGTCACCAATGCAAGTACACAAGCAAAGCCTTAACATCTGCAGCCAATTAACACTAAAGTGCACACAATTGAATTAGAAATAATTCTAAGTTAATGGCTTGAAATTCTTGTGGTCAAGAGGCTCTGGACACAATTGATAATTGTGTATAGACAGGAAAGTCCTCTTGTGTCCTTTCTGGTGCAGGAGGGAAATAAGTAGGCTAATAACTTAAAAAAATGTATTTTGTGGAATTGGAACAACTGCAAACATAAATATTCTTTGAGAGAAATTAGCAATGCCATATTGTCACAGAAAATTTACAAATTGAACTTTTGTTTTCTAAACAGCTGAGTAGTGATCTGTTTTGTAGATTTGAAATATTTATCTACCCAAAAGTTTGTATCTTTAGTGTGTGTGTTTTTTTTTTTAAACAAATACATATGGAAAAATAGTATTGGAGAGCCAAATTCAAATTCTGTCATCTGGTTACATTCAATGCTTCGAAAACCAACTACTTACATTTCATTATCGCTGATCAGACCCCAAACTAGCTCCGGTCATGATGAATGGATGTCCCCTCAGGGAAGCACTGTGCATTGGAAGACTATTGGGACACAAACTTACACCTGACCTTAAGTGAAACTCATACATACAATCCATTTCAGTTATCTGTTTGGATTGGTATTGCTTTTATGCCCATCGTCTTTTTCATGTTGAATTGTATATGGTCTATGTTAATTATGTTTTATGAAGATGTCATGAAGATGGTCTCTTAGACCAAAACGTCCGACGTTGACATTAAACATTAAAACAGCATAATCGCATATTAGGATTTTTGTTTGTTTTTTCAGTATATTTTTCTTCATACAATCCATTTATAAAGATGGAAGTAAAATGGTTCAGTCCCTGTACTACTCTAGTAAGTTACTGATACTTCATGCTATCCCCTACTTTAATAACTTGGACCGATTTTAAATTTGGATTAAGTTTGTCTAATGATTTTTTTCTTTTTCTTTCAGATTTAACAACTTAAGTCTTTGGCAATTTTAACCTTGGAAAGATCAAACAATGTGTTAAAGTTATTGAAGCCTATTATGAAAATGGATATTTATAGAAATTCATTTTGGGCATTTTGCGATTATTTTGGTCAACATAATCAACCAACTGAGAGTAGAGTACAATTGGAAAAATTGTTTGTAAATTCAAACAAACTGGGTTGGTGGCAGACGTGAAAGTATCATTGCGCACTCGTTTATACTGTTCTGCTAAAAACATTGCTGCAGTGCATGAGAATGTGGCCAAAACTTCAGACACCTCTATTCATCATTGTGTGCAGGAATTGAACTTCTCCACAACTATGTTACATCAAATTTCTACAAAATATTTGTCTCTACATGCTTACAAAATTCAATTGACACAAGAACTGAAACCTGCTGACTATTTGGAGTGCCGTACATTTGTCAATTGGGTACACGGGCAAAGACAAGCCAATGAAGATTTTTTGCAAAAAATCCTCTTTAGTGATGAAGCCCAATTTCTAGGTGTATTCCTTAATAAGCAGAATTGTCATATTTGGGCTGATAAAAATCCAAGAAAGATTGTTGAAAAGCCACTGCATCCACAAAAGGTCACTGTTTGGTGTGCATTTTTTGCTAGCGGAATCATTTATAAATTTGAACGTCTATTTTCATGATAGGCTTTGATAACTTTAGCACATTGTTTGATTGTTAATCTTTCCATGGTTGAAATTGCCAAAGACTTAAGTTGTTAAATCTGAAAGAAAAAGAAAAAATCATTAGACACTTAAACTTAATTCACATTTAAAATCGGTCCAAATTATTGTAACACCCTATATTTGCTTTACTCCTAATGACATTTGTGAATGCATGAAGCCATCTTTTCTAACCCCCAGCTGTAAGTTAAACACACATATTACATGAGGTATATAAAGTATTATAAAAGTTTCTTTCTAATATTAATCAGATTGAAACAAGTTTGGGTCTGAGAAATTAGCTGCAGGAATAAAGAAAAAAAAAAAAAAATTGTTTTATTTATATACGAGGGTAAGTCAAAAATTATCCACACTTTTGCCAGAACATATCTTTAGGTTTGTCACACTGCCTTCTGCTCATGTGTTCTTATAATTGGTCCTAGTGTGGTCACATGATCAAAGTTTGAGCTTGATTGTGCCAGTTTTTTTTACTGCTGTTACAGTATAAACATGGCCACTCTGTCAACAGTGTGCATCAAGGACGAACAAAGAGCAGTGATCTGAATCTATGAAAACAAAGTTTGAGCTTGATTGTGCCAGTTTTCTTGTTGCTGTTACAGTATAAACATGGCTGCTCTGACAGCAGTGTGCACCAAGAAGAACAAAGAGCAGTGATCTGAATCTGTGAGAACATGTTACGTCATCAATGATAACTCGCCAGTTTACCATTACCATCTCTTTAGCTTGCTGTATCTTCTTGTCAGTGGTGGATGTTGACAGGCAAACATACACATGGAATATATTGAAGAAATGACACCAGCAGTATGTCCGAAATATGTAGATGATATCTTTATACTCTGGCTGCACCAAAAAGCTATACAAATACTGGTGGACCATGTGAATACAATAAGACCTTTGTTCCAGTTCACAATGGAAGAAGAAAATAATAATCAGCTGGAAGTATTAATAACTTGATAATAGGTTCAAAACATC